CTGCTACCCGAAAGTATGCAGTGGTTTTGTGTAGTTCGCAAAAGTATGCAACTCTTTTTGAGCTCGCGCAAGATACTAAATTCTGATTGGCTGGCCAATCAGAACTAAGCAACGGTAAGCACCAACGGTAAGTACACCGACGCACTAACACACGCGCAGCCGGAGATCGCTTATCGTGAAATGCTCGAAATAAGCTCTTTTAAGCAGCACTCAGCGTATTTTATTGCAGGGCAATAAAATACAGTTCACAGCGATGATGCGCGACAGAAGAAACACAACCGTACGCAGCGACGATCAGAAGCAAACAGGGGGAGAGCGGACAGGCGGACATGGCTATATCGCCTTGGTACAACTACAGTTTAACGATATTTGTTTCCTTTAGGGCGATGGTATAGTTTTGCTTTTAAGCCCATGGGCCTGACGCCCGCTCTAGAGTCGCGGGTCGCATTTGCCTTTGCTTGTGTTATACATTCTAAGAAGAAGAAAGGAACCCGTTGTTGCACATCTTTTTCACGACTATTTTGCAGCTGAGTTGCTGATCTACCGACATCTTGAACGCTACACTGTAGTAGTGTCCAAAGAAGTGGTACTTGACGAATCCTTCCATAAAATGCTTCGGGGTAATGCAGCTCCAACTCCTTCATCCTGTCGAACATCTCCGGTATCAACTCTTGGAATTTCGATGAGTTATTCAGCACGCTGAGACGAGTGGACGGACGTCGACGGCGCCTCCTTGGGGCCAGGTAGCAGCGATAGCACCGCCAAGGGCAGCAGCAGCAACAGCAACGGTGGCATCAGTGGGGTAGCAGAGGCGACACTGGCTATGATGGCAGCCGCCAAGCTGTCTACCCAACAAAGCAACAAAACGATATTTGCTGATCCGTGAATTTAAAAAAGTAAAAAAAAAAGGTATAGTTAGTAATATTTGCAAAGCAGTCGCTAATGACTTGTAAGATTCTTGTCCCAATGAAATATTTAACAGAAGCTGTTCAGGCGAGAATCCAATTACTCTACGTTCTTCTTCGCTCTTTTTTTGTAAAAGTAAGACGTCTTGAATATCGTTTAACAAGTCTTTGTTGTCTACGAGTATGTCACCTGGATAAAAATCGTTAGCTATTTTTTAGATTTTCCCAAAAAACAAATGAAACTATATATATTTACCCTAAGAAGGATCATTAATAATATTTACTGCGACCGCAGTTAGCCTTGATGTTTTATGAAGATCGTATGTCCACAAAAAAAGTTATTAAACAATTAGGTTCTCATAGTAAGCGCACACTGCAGCCCATGCGTGTTTATGCGTGGGTGCTTGTGTGTGTATGCGTTTGTGTGTGTATGCGTGTGTGTGTGTATGCGTGTGTGTGTGTGTATGTGTGTGTGTGTGTGTGTGTGTGTGTGTGTGTACACTCTGCTGCGGACATTCAGCACGTCGGCTCGACTGCCCTGAACCCAGTCAGCTAGCAGCTCACCCCGTTGCCTGTTCAGGTAGCCCCGAGAGCGCTCGGGTAGCTTACTGAACCACAGGGGGGATACTGCGTTCGCATCAAGGCCATAGATGACAGGCGTGCGGCTGGCTAGCAGCAGCACCGCATCCATGTACAGCAGGTACGGCTCCAGTTCTGCGTTGAATTGGCAGTATACGGAGGTGAGGAAAATCGAACCGAATCTTCCGGACACACTCACGCATACGCCAAACTCCGTGATGAGTGACGAGACAGGCATGCAGACAACCTCCTGGTCGTCTACGACAACTGCAGCTTTGTTGCGAATGTCGGAAAAGACTCGCATGCCTGCCGGTAATCCGGTGATCCTTCCTCCACGGTCAACGTACGGCTCTTGCAGCAATGCGAACAACGCCCCAGAGTTCCTCATCCGGACTCCAAGGTCGACAACGGCAGCTCTACTGCGACCGCCGTTAGCCTGAATGACTCTAAACATTGTTAATGTCTAGAGGCCACCCTGGCGAGCACTCGTCCGTATATCGGGCAGGCCTCGGAGAGCATATGATGCCCCGCGGGTAAACCCTTAAAGCTGCAGTTCCTGCAATGCACAGGATTTCTGCAGCCCGAGGCACGGTGCCCTGATTGTCCGCATCGCTTGCAGACCTGTTCCTTCATCCTGCATGTTGCCACTTTGTGGTCAAAGCTGACACATCTGTGGCAAGTATAGGTCGGCGGCATCGGGTGCCAGCGGAACGAAAACCACTCTATATATATGCGCTCGCTATCCTCCAGGATATCGAGTGCCTTTCTTTCAAGCTCCAGTTGCACGTTGACCGTGGGTCCAGCGTCGCTGTTCCATGGCTTCGACGAGATCCTAACCGACTTCTCGAACGCTGCATTGGAGCAGTGCCCGAAGAAGTGGTTTTTGAACAACCCCTCCATTAAATTGCTTCGGCGTGATGCTGCTGTCCACATTCAGAACGTTAACTCTCGGCCTGAGAGCGGCGTTCTCCTTCACATCCAATCCTACTTCTTTGAACTTCGGGTTCGCAAGAACCTTCCGTATCTCGCCGGAGGATGGCGTGCGAATAATCGCGCTACCTCGATTGAGCTCACGCACTTCGTGCACACGTACACCAAGTGCGGGCGCGACTTCCTTACGGATACACTCAGCAACTTCCTGAGGCGTCTCCTCTGGATTGCTCGACGTCACAATCGCTGACCAAATTTCCGCAACTTTGCGGGCCCGAGGTGCAGCGATCGGAGCAGCGACTGCAGATGCAGTGACAGCGGCGTAGGAAGTGGCGGGTGCAGCTTGTGGGGCGGCGGCCTGGGGGCGGGTCCTTGCGATGGTCTCCAGCTCCTTCATCCTCCCATACATCTCCAGAATCAGCTCCTGGAACTTGGCAGCACTATCCAGCACGCTGAGCGCAACAGTGCCTGGCACATTGTCAGCGACAACGGCTCTCCGGAGCTCTCGCTCAATGGCCAACATGGAGCACCAGCTCCAGCCGGCACCGAGCTAACGGCGCGGGCACTAGCAGCAGCAGCGACAGCGGACGTCGACGGCGCCTCAAAGGGGGCCATGATCCGGGCAGCGGTGGCAGCAGGGACGGGGGCAGCGGCAGTGGCAGCAGCAAGGACTGCAGCCAAAGCGGTGACTCCAGCGGTGGCGGCGGGGGCAGCTGGTGCAGTAACGGGGGCAGCGGGGGCGACATTGGCTGCAGCGGCGGCCAGTGAGGCGTCGCTCTCATCAGCCGAACTGTCTTCGCGCGCGCGCAGCTTCCTCGGCGGCGAGTCCGTGGGCGGCGGCATGGCTGCGGCGTCGGCGACGTTCCGAAGAACAATCATCGGCACGCGCCCACGCTTTTTCCTGGAGTTCGACCGCGTCAAACTCCCACTACTTGCCTCGGAGTCCATCCCTTTTTTTATTTATTTTTTTTTTTATTTTTATATTATTTAAACAGGCTTTTTACTACCTAATTGGCAGCTTAACAAGTTGAACATAAAGACACAATTATTTACAGTACACACTACAGAAATTTCATAACAATAACAATATAACAATTAACAAAAACATCAACAAACAATAACAATTTTTACGTAAATCACATGCAATTTGACTTGATACATTTTTATAGGAACCTCGCAGGGAGGTCCTGTGGATGGCACTTCTTCAGTCTTCTTTTTCTGGCTGCTTTCTTAAGTCTTCTTGCCAAAGGGTTTGGGTGGCCTTCGAGTCTTGCAAGGTAGCTAGCAGCTACCTTTTGCATAACGTCTCCAACTTTGGGAACCCTGAGATCTTTTTCAATGTCCCTGGTACGCATATACCAGGGAGCATTGCAAATTTACCGGAGGATTTTTGCTTGTGCAACTCTTATTTTATTGAGATTTGTTTTTGCCGCAATCCCATAGATTTGAAGCGCATATCTCCATATGGGGCTGAGTATTGATTTATAAATTGTCACTTTATTGTATAGTGACAATTTATTGGCCGGCTTAAGAAGCCATGACATTTTTGCGCTTTTGGACAAAACAGACTTTTTGACCATCGTGGTGTGCATATTAAATGTAAGCCTTCTGTCTAACACTACGCCCAGATATTTGTGGCTTCTTTTGTGCGGTAGTGTTGAACCCTGCATGCTAATGCGACCACAATTTAAAGGTCTTGTGGTAAACGTAACGTTTGCGCATTTGCTCCCGTTAATTCCAATGTTCCATTTGCACGCCCAGTCTTCAAAACTGCTCACATACTGCTGCAATGACTCTGTAGCTTTATTGATGCAGGTACTACTTGTCAGTACGGCTGTATCGTCGGCATACGTGGCTATCAGTACATTGTTCCGGTTTACTCCTGTGATGTCGCTATGTGAGGGCATATCGGCTGTGAACAGAGTATACAAGGTAGGGCCGAGAACGCTACCTTGAGGCACGCCTGCACATATTGGTCTTTTTGACGATTTAATACCATCAACATCAACCCTAAAGCTTCTATCTCGCAGAAAGCTGCTGACAATCTGGTACAATTGTGGAGTGAGAACGCTTCTAAGTTTGAATAGTAGTCCGTCATGCCAGACTCTGTCAAACGCTTGCCTTATGTCCATAAAGACAGCAACTGCATACTTCTTGTGTTCAAAAGCGCCTGGACGCTAGGCAACGAAAAACACTGCTACCCGAAAGTATGCAGTGGTTTTGTGTAGTTCGCAAAACTATGCAACTCTTTTTGAGCTCGCGCAAGATACTAAATTCTGATTGGCTGGCCAATCAGAACTAAGCAACGGTAAGCACCAACGCACTATAGGAAAAAAAGCCCGAAATTTTGGCATCAATTCTAAAAATAGAGCTAGGAGGTTGAAATTTTACATACACCTAAGATAGACTAAGTTAGAATTTCAAATTTTTTTTTTTTTTTTACGATTTGACCACGCCTTCTCCCCGCCTCCTTGTTACCCATTAATGAAATCATGTGTACTTCAGACATAAATTTTTTAAATATATTATATATATCTTACATTACATATTTTCATATAAAAATAAATGTGTACAGCTTATTATATAATAAAAAAATTAAAATGTGTATTTTCATTCCGTTGATACCCTGTAAAATTAAGAAAAATATGAAAAAAAATGTTGTATTTTTATTTTACAATAATTACCACATCTCCAAAAATTAACATCAATAATCATAATTTTCTTCATCCAATTCGATATTCGGGTCGAAATTGTTTGCATCATCCTCATCCTCATCTTCAGCTTCTAAACTTTCAGTTTCATTTGTAAATTGATGCGCGATTTGCGGAGGCTCAATCAGAGCAAACAGATCAATCACTTCGCTTGGAAATTTTAATTTTTTGTGAAGCTTCTGTCTTTTTTTAAGACAGAGACTTGACAAAAGCGGATCAGATGAATCTAATGCCCTGTGAAAAACATCAGTGATGTTGTTTAGCCTACTGCTCTTTCTGGCATGCGACCTTCTGTCATTTTTATAAATTTTGTTTCGAGCTTCTGATGCGTTTTCTCCGAGAACACCAACAGGAACTATGCAGCTATCCATTATTTGGTATCCATGGATCAAAACTTTGTGCACAGTTGGGGACATGGGATACCAAGAATAGTTATTCATATATATTTCAAATGTACGGACGCAGAAAGCTCTAAATTTATCGCTATTTATATAATGTTCGGATGAGATAGCAATTAATATTATATGAAAGTTCCTGATAACTTCATAATTGAGATTTAGTATGTCAGAAAACTTTCTAGGATCTGAAAACGCTCTTCGGGCGGTGTTTCCATCATTACTGCTTCCACTACCGTTCTGTTTGGGTTTATCAACTATAAGACCCATTTCCAGCCATAACTTTTCTTGTATTTGTTGCTTCCGTGCTGCGACTTGATTTTTATCTGCTTCCTTTATGCGCCATTTCTTTAAATCATTTTTATAAGATATTCTTAACACAAACTCTAAAAATCTTATCCAAGCATGAAGTGGGCTTAATCCATACTTAAGATTTTTTTCAGTCACTTTAAAACACGCTGAGTTAAAATCAGCAATTTCTAACAATTGTTTTGGTTTCGCCCCGCATAGAGGGCATGATTGGCACGAATTTGTACCCGTTACAATATTCAAAACCTTTCCATCAATAAGGGTCAGATGCATATCATACTGGATATATATTGTGTTGTTATTATATATATATTTATGCTCACTAAGACCTCTTATTTGCTCCTCCCAATATTTTTTTTCATTCAATATAACGGCTGTGGTTTCCTTAACAAATTCGATTTTCAAAGGTCGACAAAATCTAATTGACTGCGGTGTTCTATTGAGCCAAATTATTCGGTTATGTTCATCCGTCAATCTTAGGGGAATTATTGTGGAAACAAAAAGGGAATGATCCATAGTATTGAACTCATCACTCTGAAAATATTGCTTATAACTGCTTTGCCCAGTTGATCCATCGAAACCGTAGCTCACTATTAATTTATAGTGCGTTGCATTTGGAACTACTTCTAAAACATCCTCTTGCAGCTTTAGAATCCGATCTGCTGTATGATTTAGTAAGCTCTGCAAAGGCACTTCCGCTTTTTTTTCACAAATTGATATTCCATTTGGCCTGCATTTCAACTTAGCTTTCACTACTTCCAAATAAGATGGGAAAATATCACATCCGTGTTGTTTACAGATCAACTTAATGTTTCCATACTGCTCTTTTGTTAACCCGTTTTCAATAAGAAAAGCCAATGCTTCAGATGGTTCTATAGAAGTTGGTAAATTTCCTTCTATTTTCTTTCTTATCTCACTCGCATTCTCACTGTGCATTGTTTTTCGTAGAACGAATGCCATATCATTTTCTTTGCATTTTTTTGCTGAAACCGATGCAGCATGTATAAACAGTTGGGTTGTGTGTTCTTCTTGACTTGCAAGATCAGAAGCTAATTTTCTCTTCAGCCGACTGCCTGCTTCTTCATAAGTAAGTTCTTTACGGCCAGCTTTATCTTGCGAGGACTTAACTTCTTTTAAGTTGATAAATATTTTGCCCTCGACCCACCGTGAATGTGTTGCTTTGAATCTATGCAGATTACGGTTACATCTGGGCAAATATCTTTTAACAAAAGCAATAAACTGGGCTACTTGGGTAGAAATACTGTTTTCTACATTTTCATCCATATTATTATTAATTTTTTCAATCATAAACAATTTCACCGCGTCTGCTTGGCGATTGTTGCTTGCCCATACGTCTAGAAGCTCTGAGCGCGTAAACTCATACTTAGCTATAAAAACGTTATTTTTTCGAAATGGAGCAAAAAGGAGCAAAAACGGTTAAAAGTCTCTAATAATAGAAGTTTCAGACAACACGTTTGCAATTAAACTTCATCACTAGTCTCCTCTATTTGTAAGTTATGTTCCACGAAACACGAACTATTTTGTTATTTTTTAGCTAAAATACACAACAACAAAACATTGAACAATTAGACAAGTAAACAAATGAACTCAAAAATTTGAATTGACAATTTATAGTACATACCATCAGTAATGTTTTCCATTTTTAAAGTTATAAATTTTATTTTTATTTACCGCAGTACTAAACTTCAAAGTTGCACAATTTTTCCCTCGCTTTTTTTTGCATACAAAGCAACTCTGGGTCAGCTGACTTGCAGCCCCGCGATATATAGTAGGGGCAGTCCATAAAATTTTTAAAAAATTCATTTTATATTAGTTAAGATATTTATTATTGGAAAATAAAAAAAAAGGTTAAAAATTGATAAAAAAAAAATTGTATTTATGCCAAAATTTCGGGTTTTTTCCTATAGTGCAACGGTAAGTACACCGACGCACTAACACACGCGCAGCCGGAGATCGCTTATCGCGAAATGCTCGAAATAAGCTCTTTTAAGCAGCATTCAGCGTATTTTATTGCAGGGCAATAAAATACAGTTCACAGCGATGATGCGCGACAGAAGAAACACAACCGTACGCGGCGACGATCAGAAGCAAACAGGGGGAGGACGGACAGAATCCTTGATTTGTTTAACGTGACGTGTACCCCGATGGGGGTTTACAACCACGGTACTCGCATGTGCCACATATGTGACACATAGTACAGCGGGTGAAAACAATGCGTCCACCAACGCCCCTAAAAGAACGCTTTTTGCTACCAACTCGAATTGTGTTGTCGGACACAATTCCCTCTTGGGTCGAGGCGAGGCCTATCATAACCTCTGCTGGATACGGGTACAGCTTCCGGCTGTGGTCCAAATACACATTGGACCCAGCAGCTGTGCTCCAACTATAGTGGAGACACAGCGGGTAACACCACAGCCACCACGATACTCCCACTAAAGGGGGCCAACCTCACTGGGCTAGCCTCGGACACTAGCCCATCCCGTGGTTCAAATTTCAAATCTGTTACAATTTGCAGCTTTGATCGGCTGAATGCAGTCCGCGACTACTGCCCAATTTGGTTTCCGACAACCAGGAGCTGGGTTAGCACCGGCGGCACCTCCGAAGAGATAACCTACCAGATTAAGGCTCTGGTCCGCCCTTCGACGCCTCCAGAATTGGATTTGTCTTCCAGATTAAGGCTCTGGTCAGCCCTTCGACGCCTCCAAATTGGATTTGTCTTCCAGATTGAGGCTCTGGTCAGCCCTTCGACGCCTCCAGAATTGGATTTGTCTTCCAGATTGAGGCTCTGGTCAGCCCTTCGACGCCTCCAAATTGGATTTGTCTTCCAGATTAAGGCTCTGGTCAGCCCTTCGACGCCTCCAGAATTGGATTTGTCTTCCAGATTGAGGCTCTGGTCAGCCCTTCGACGCCTCCAGATTGGATTTGTCTTCCAGATTAAGGCTCTGGTCAGCCCTTCGACTCTCTCCGAGAAGAGAGTCTGCCAGATTGAGGCTCTGGTCGGCCTTTCGACTGATCCCGAAGGGACTTCGTCTCCCAAATTTAAGGACTTTGGTCCGACCCTCGTAGATAATTCTACTACCAGTTTTGACTAACGTCAGTCCGGCACTGGTCTGCCAGGTCCCACGCCATCGATCAGCATGCGTCGCCTGCTGAAGACTGTCCGAGCATAGTCTTCAAGCAGTTGCATGCTCTCCGCCTCCATTAAGGTCCTCTCCATGGTCCAGTCACCGGATTCCGACTGCTGGATCCTAAGTCCTTGCAGATCCCGCACATCCGCAGAGAGGGGGCAGGCACACAATACGTGTAGCCAGTCCTCCAGGGGATGGCCACATAGGCATCCAGCAGTCTCGCTAAGACCGCGCGCATGCAGAAAAGCATTCAACGAGCCATGACCAGTTATGAGGAAACTGGTCGGCATCGTGAAACTGAAATCGGGGCGGCTGTATACGAAGCTAACATCCGGGATGAACCTATGCGTAACACGGCCGTGTTCGCTGTCATCCCACCGGATCTGCCATTCACGCAACAAGCGTTCGTCCAGCAAGGCTCTCCTCATAGTACGATCAAGGGTCGAAACGTCTTGATCGTAGAGCCAATCGCCCTCTACCATCGGGTAGCTCCTCTTAAGCTTGAACTGCATAGCGTTGCGCGTCGCAACAAGGTCCAGCGGCGGGGCTCCAGCCAGCACTTCAAGGGCATCAGTAGATACCGTTCGACACGTAGGCAAACATCCAATCAGGATGATGCGATGGCAGGACTTGAGCGACCTCCTGGCGCCGACTAGTCTCATCACCACCGTGTACCACACCGAAGCACCAAATAATGCACAAGGCACAATGAGTCCGGCATATATCCTTCGCCGTGCGCGCGGACTGAGTCCCCAGTCAACGCGTAGCACACGGGTCAGGGCTCCGACGACTCCGGCCAGCCGATCGCGTAAAGATGCGATATGCGGGAGGAAACTCAACCGCTCGCCAGCCGTGATGCCAAGGTAACGATATTGCGTCACATACCGTAGATTTGCTCCTGCAAATCTAACGGCGGGATTTCTGCCAGCTGACAGCTTTCCCTTAAGGAGCATCGTCACAGTCTTCGTTGCCGAGACTGAGACGCCTACCTCTATGCCCCATCCTCCAACTATCTCCATTAGCTGGGCGCCTGTGAGCTCCAGTTGATATCTGGAATTCCCTTCGACGAGCAGCAGCAAATCGTCAGCGTATGCACTGAAAGTGCAATGCGCTACAAGGCGGCGCAGGAGCACATCCATCAAGATGTTACATATGAATGGACCACTGATGGACCCCTGCGGGCAGCCACGTGAAACATTCACATTAGCTTCGCCAAAGCTGCTTACGATGCTAGCTTTTCGGTCCGAAAAGAAGCTGCGCCAGATCCCAATTTCCCTGCATCCTAGATCCGATAGTCGGCGTAACGCTGCATCCCATTCGACATGGTCGAATGCTCCTTTGAAGTCGATGAAGACTCCGAGCACATATCGGGCCGAGCTGGCCTCGACACTGCTCAGAACATGCCTCCAGGCATCCTCCACGCAGCGTCCGGGGCGAAAGCCGAATTGCCATCGACTCTCGTCCGTGAGCGCCTCCTTCACACGGTTCACCATGATCCCTTCCAGCACTTTGCCAAAGACAGGCAGCAGGCAGATGCCTCGATAGGACGCTGGGCGCTTCCACTCAAGTGGAAAATATCCATCTGCCAGGCAGCGGGAATACAACGCTGTCATGTGCTCCGGGATGGCGCGCCAGGCCGCTTTGACCATACCCCCAGTGATGCCATCTAAGCCAGGTGAGCGCCTGCTGCGAACTCTGGCGATGCACATCTCCACCTCGAAAGTTTCGAGGGCTGGGGGTACTTCGCGAGGAACTTCCACTGGCCTCTCCGCAACTGGAAAAAAGTTGCGGAGCAGGACATTCGCGCAGTCGTTCCAGGTTACGTACTGCTCATTGTTCCAGCGAAGGCAACCGAAATCGGTGCGCGTCTTGCGGCCATGGCAGATCTTGTAGACAGATCCCCACGGGTCATCCTGATGCTCGCCAACATATCGCCTCCAATCCTCCTCTTTTGCCTTGAGCATCATCCTCTCGTATTCCTTTCGGGTGATCCTGAAATACGAGGCAAGGGCACTGGCAGTCTCACTTTGCGTGCGGCGCGCATGCTGGAGCCTTCGCCGGGTTCTCCTGAGCGCACGGCGTGCGTCCGAGAGGGCGGCATTCCACCAGCCCACACGGCGTCTAGCTCTCGGTTGTCGACGCCCAAACAAAGTGTCGCTCACCTGATGGATCAGGGAGCGCAGTGCAGCCACTTGTCCATCTGATGTCATAAGACGAAAGCTCTCCAGGGGGATTTCCATCGATGCAGTCCTCAACTCATCACAAAAACGCCGCCAGTCAGCATTCTGGAGTTGCCACGAGGGCACAGGAGCAAAGCTCTCAACTGTGCTTTCCGGATCAAGCGTCACCACAACAGTGATGATGTTGTGTTCGCTTAAATCCCACTCGCTTACACTCCAGTCATACGCAGCCCACGTAGACGCTGAATCACTGACGATTGTCACGTCAATATCGCTCCTCGCTCTGCGATTATCGAACGTGTATACTCTGCTGCGGACATTCAGCACGCCGGCTCGACTGCCCTGAACCCAGTCAGCTAGCAGCTCACCCCGCTGCCTGTTCAAGTAGCCCCGAGAGCGCTCGGGCAGCTTACTGAACCACAGGGGGGATACTGCGTTCGCGTCAAGGCCATAGATGACAGGCGTGCGGCTGGCTAGCAGCAGCACCGCATCCATGTACAGCAGGTACGGCTCCAGTTCTGCGTTGAATTGGCAGTATACGGAGGTGAGGAAAATCGAACCGAATCTTCCGGACACACTCACGCATACGCCAAACTCCGTGATGAGTGACGAGACAGGCATGCAGACAACCTCCTGGTCGTCTACGACAACTGCAGCTTTGTTGCGAATGTCGGAAAAGACTCGCATGCCTGCCGGTAATCCGGTGATCCTTCCTCCACGGTCAACGTACGGCTCTTGCAGTAATGCGAACAACGCCCCAGAGTTCCTCATCCGGACTCCAAGGTCGACAACGGCAGCTCTACTGCGACCGCAGTTAGCCTGGATGACTCTAAACATTGTTAATGTCTAGAGGCCACCCTGGCGAGCACTCGTCCGTAGATCGGGCAGGCCTCTGAGAGCATATGATGCCCCGCGGGTAGACCCTTAAAGCTGCAGTTCCTGCA